CATACGCATGCACACAATGTCAGTGGCATGAATTAGTTGATGAAATCCACCTGCCAAAGAGACAGTCCAATACATAGACCTGGCCGTTTGTTGACTCAACATGTTTTCATGTCTTTCAATCAACCTTCCTGTAATTAAAAAAAAGCAAGAATGAGATGAGACACAAGGATTGCAGAAAAAGCGCCGAACTTCCTGTGAATGGGCGTGCTAAAAATGTACCAAGAGGGAAAGTGGAGCCCATGGAATGTTCATTGTATTTCACTTGCTGGGAATGGTTAAAAAACAAAAGCAAAATGCACCAGGAATAATTTTTGTAAACAATCTTTTTTGGGGGGGATGTAGTTATTTCCAATCAAGTAATTTTCTAACGCATGTTTTTTAATGTGTGTTTTTGATAATATCAAATATCCAGTGGCACATGTATGTCATTACAGATGTGATTAAAATCAGTTTCCTATGACCAAGGCTTTACCGCCCCTGGTGCTCCAATCAGATTTTTTTTTTGATAACAGGAAAATCCCCCCCCTCTTGACGTCAGGTCTTGGTTTCTTTAAAGGTTAGCTGCAGTCCAGGTTATTTTCTCTGTCCATTTTATTCAATACTAAATTGGCTTATTCATATTTCATATCTTTCTGACTTCAGATGAATCTTAAAAAGAGAGACACAGACAGTAACATGCATTTTGTGCCGTGGCATCACATTAGTGTTACTTATGAATTTAAATTGTAAATTTACCTGTTTGTGTGAGATGTTTAACCAGGTTTGGGTTTTTATTAAAGGAACCAGGAACTTAATTTTTCTTAGAATCACTTTTTGTGTATCTCTGTACTCTTCTTCCATGTATGAAGACTGTTTGACATCTTCTTTGAGTTACGTGAACTGAACAGTGCACTTTTTCATACATTAAAAATTCACCAAGTATTTCTGGACAAGTGAGGGCACTTTTGATTTTATGTAAATCCAGGAAGACATGGTTCAGGTTGCATGTTTTCATGTTTAAATTGTGAACTCAAATTTGCTATCTGGGAACATTTCTGTGAAAAGGATTTTTGCTGGATTATTGCGATATACTTACACAGCAATAAATTGCCAAAGAAAATGAAATCTGCCATAGCAGTGGTTAACAAAATCTAGAAATTTTCTGTGCACAAATCAGTGAAACATTGAGATTCAGTGCCTTGGATGACATCATAGTTCTGCTCATGAATATGCAAATATACAATAGCATAAAACCAAACAAGCATCAAAATATGGGTTAAAATTGCACAACAAAAATTTTAAAAAGGTTTTGTTAAAACCCAAAGATGCAATTTCAAGGGCTTTTAGTAAAAATTTAGTAAAAATACATGTATTTCTATTTCCTGGTTCCTTTAAAGGTGAAATAACCCCAAAGTGAATAGAAATGGAGCATTTTGGCAAGATCAATCCAATGTTATAACCATTTCATGTACTGATACATGTATGTTGGTGTGAAAGCAGAACTTACGTGTAATTTTAAAAAATAATAGAACTAACACTGGATTCAACATAGATGGTTTTGTCATACATGTACTTCGAAATTGTAGAATTTTGCCATTGTTTAAACAGTTAGGACGTTGAGAAGATTTCCCGAGAAACATATGGTATGTTGTATCTTTGTGCGGATTGTTTCAGAGGGTGAAATTGTACTTCATGAGACACTTGCAGCAGAGCTCATTTCATCGAAAAATCTGTCAATGCTTTAACCTGAACAGTTTTGTAGAGTCTTTAATAGCCACAAACATTATCAGCACACCATATTGGCTTCTGGTGTCTCAGGTTCTAGTGGACCAAGTCAAAGCAAGAGTCGCTTAAGACTGTGAAGCTTCAATTTTTGCTACATCTGGTTAATGAATATGTACTTCAAGATATTAAACTTTGCTCAAAAATAACAGGAGAACAACATAGTGATTGGGCTGCCTGAGTAATGAAGATAGATTACCAAGGAATTGTTTTGGGAAATTTTTTTTCTTTTCTCTCCGAGCGTTCCGTCTAGAACTGGGAGGTCCAAAGGTTGAAAGTTTATTCAGAGCATCATTGGTCATAGCAGTGTTGTCTTAGGAGGACAAAGACCATTGAACCTGTGAGATTCCAAGCGCCACAGTTCAAATATTGGCTGTTGCCTGTGATGCTTGGAAACCAACAGAAAAGCAGAGCAATGGTGTACAAAATCATCCATCCTTCCCCCCCCCAATCGTTTGTAGAATCTGACCACACTCATCCCAGCACCATCTGGAATTGGAGACAGCTCCTTACAGGGTACTTGCGGGCTCACACTGTACTGGTCTTGTGTGATGTTGTATTTTGCTCCGTTTCTCCTGTTGAGGCATTTGACAACTTCATAATTACATGTAGTTTGACTAATACCTGTTTTCACTGTTCAGAATTTACATGTAGTGAGTTTCACAGCATTGAACTAGTGTGTTTTTCTGTTTTGGTTTCAAATGTTCATGTACATACTTTACAAGAGGGCAGGAATGTTAAAGGTCATAGTTTTACAACTTTCATGTTCGTACAGATAAAGGCTCCGTTTCTTTTTTTGAGGGGTATTTCATCATGAATTTTGTCCGCAGGTGCCACTGCCATACATGTATGGGTCTATTATTTATTGCAGAGCCACACATGCATTACTTCAGACAAATTGATGATGGGATTTGAACCTGTAAAGCAGTGAATACAGTTCTGCTGCTCAACCTCCTGGTACATCCATCTCTGTGGTTACGTCTGATTTGTCAGTGACTTTGTAAGAGATCGCATCCCCAAATTACAGTGCAAGCGTTGGGACAAGAGTGTGGGCAAGAATCACTCAGAGGGGACGTGACGCTTGACAGATCTGTGAGAAGGTGCCAGCCAGGCTGGCAAATTCTCTCTCCCAGACATAACCCCAGATGCATCAATTTTGGAACAGATTTGATGGAACTAGAATTCTATTCATCTCCTGTCTCTCTCTCCCCCTCAACCTTTATTTCCTCTGCACAGATACTGAGCAAGAGAGGCATGCCTTGCTTCGTGATGCTGTTCCAGAGCTCCAACGGCACTGTCAGGAGTATGGACTGGATTTCCAGGTGAGAAGAATTGACAGCGTCTCGGTCTCGGTCGCAAATGGAGGAAATCTACTAGATTCCCCCAGGCATACCGCCGTCTTCCGAAGCCCAGCCTACCTGACAGTCACGTTTGATGGCCCAGATTACTTGTAATAAGCGTTGTGGGTGCTGCATGCAGTAGACACTGTTATACTTGTCAGGGCCGTGACTTCAAGGAAAGAAAACAACTTGGCTTGATGGCATCGACGGTGCCAGAACAAAGTATCAGAACAGGTTTTTGATGGGGTCCTCCTCATCACAGAGTTTGGCTCCATAATTTGTTAGAATTCACAGCCAGTCTCTGCAGTTGAGGGGTTCAAGACCTTAGGCGTGGGGCCGACATGAGTTTTGCAATTCTGTGACCAGGACAGCAAAATTAGCAAATGTGCCATAGATATATTTTTTTTTTGAAGAAGGACACAGTGACGGAGTGGGATGAATTCAAGACGACTTCGAGAAATAGTGCATAGCGGATCAGCGTCAGTGTTTACAACAAAAAAGAAATGAAAAAGTGTATCATACCCATTTAACCCCACTCCCCTATTATTCTTTCTCAGTACTTTCCTAAGTCCTCCAAAGTCCTCTAGTGTGCAAGAGCTTGGTGATATATTCTTTACATTTCAACCTCTTAGGAACATCAAGCCCCATGTCAGGTGATAGGGGCTGGGTTGTACCTTCCTCAATCCTGCAGAATTCTCCACATCTAATGGATTTTGAAGAATCTGGGATTGATGAGATTTTAAAAGCTGTTGGAGTTGACATTATACATATGTATGTACATGGTATGTCAGATCTAATAACACAAGAACTGCACAAGTTCAATGGAATTGTGTGAAACTGGCTCTGTGGAATAAGCATGGGTACCACAAAGATTTTTTGGTTCAAAGGGAAGAGACAAGTGCTAACTGGCTTTGAAAATGAATACATTGTAAATCCAATCAAAGTAATGCAGGCAGGATATCACTTGATACATGTACGTGAGGGCTCTGTCATAAGCTTGCCTATGGGTACAGATGCAGCTACATTGTAGGTCCAGTTTGGGAAGTGTATGTTGCCAATTTTGAATTACATGTAACAATACAATGTTGACTGAAGCCTGTCACTTGGTGTGGGGTATAACACCCATGAGAAAAAGTCAAATCAGCAGTGCACAAGTGTCAATCAGGCTTGACAGTTACAGTTCTGCCTGAAGCTCATCTATTTTTCTTAGATTGCCTGTTGCTCATAGTCAGGTTACTCTTTTTTGCCTTCCTTAGCTTGTTGACATGTACTGTGGTCCAGGTGACATTGCCACCAATGACCACGAGATGGGAGCATTACGACTGCGTGAGATCAGTGATGCTCATCGGATATCACAAGGCCCATTCTTTCTGGTAAGGAGCACACAAACAACTTCCATAGAATCTTTTCATTTGGATGTTTTTTTTGTTTTGTGTTTGTGTCTGGTTTTTCCTTTGGGTTGTGTGCCCCTTTCATTGTACTGTGCAATCAGTTATTCTTGCAATATCAAATGCACAAAGCCAGTTTTAAGTATATTGGCGTATTGCACTTTACAATGAGTGATTAGTGGATGTTTTGATATGAGGTCTAATGTAACAGTGAAAGCTGTAAAATAAAAGTTGCAGACTGCACTAATTCCATTCGCCCTTTATAAAATTATCCTCTTGGGGTTAATTTGGAAGGAAAATTTAACCTGTATGGCATTGTGTTTGCTGTTTGTTGAGTTTATTTTTTGGAGTTTCCTTATGTCTACTCATTCTCTTTGGGTTCAGTGGATGGGTTTTAATTTCTCTTTCAAATAAGCCTTTTGCAGGTTAACTTTGACCCAGATCCTGGTACACTGAGTTCTTTAAATTCACATGAACATAGATGCATCAACTTGAATTCTCCTTACTAAAACCACTGTTGCTATACCTCGTGATTCGGGGCAAGCTTTTGCTTAGTTACATAAGAGACGCCTTGAAACAATACACTGTTCTCAATGGATAAGAACGGCACAAAGGAACCAGTCCATTCCAGAGATGGTGGTCACTATGCAAAAGCTTGCCCCGAATCACGAGGTATAGCAACAGTGTCTTAAGTCTGGGGAATTCAAATCGTTATGTTTACGTGCAGTCAGATAACTTAGTGCAGCAGATTTTATTCAAATTTAATTCGCAGATGGCTTATTCATTTAGTTTGTTTCATAGGGAGCAAATGTAGCAGTAGAGAAAACACATGTAAGCACATGTACACCTTTTAAATGTGGCCATTCTTTATAGTTGAATATGTATGGCTTGATACATGTGCAAGTACATACATGTTTTGTTTCGTTTTTCTTGCTATTACACGTATGTCCATGTATCTCTATTGGTTTCCGTGATGTCAGAAGTTCAGACTGACAGAGTCTGCTAATTGCCTCCTACATTGCACTTTAACCCTACCACCCTCGGATTTTGTTCTTCCGTTCTGCCCCAGAATCCTGCGCGGTTGCTGGCTTCAAGTGGAATGGATGAATGACTATCACTAAGCTGGAATTGAGGATTCCCAGGGTTCTGAAACCTCATTCCACAGCAAAAATATCGCGGGGGGGTGGGTTAAGAGCCTTTTTAGTCGAAATTGCATTTAGTGTTGCCACGCACAGATCAGATTTACAGCAAACAATGAATCACTAATGGGATGTACCACAGTACGTTGGCTGAAAATCCAAATAAAGAACTCTGCTCTTTGCATATATGCCATCCAATATTGCATTTTTCCCTTTGAGAGAGGCTAGACTGCAGAAATTGCCAGCATTTTTTCCCCCTTTACTCAGAGGCATGTGTGAGACACCAGGCGGATGTGTAATGTTTTCGTAACACCTGCAGAAAACTCCATGCAATGATAATTACTTCACAGCTGAACTCAATCAGCCTGGGGCAGCAATAACGAAGTTGCCTTTCTCTCCTGGCCGTAAATTTAGGCTGAAGTTTATAAACCTGCAATATGGGGTTTCTTCTTATCCTGTCAACATAAATGTCAACAAAAATGAGCAGGTACCGGTATAGTCCTTTATTTCCTTGCAGTCCTGAGGGGGACATGTTGGTTTTAACAGTCACTGCCTGACCTAGTTTAATTGGGAGGGGGACCACAAATTATGCAGAAGAACCAAGGCTGGAAAAATGGAACTAAAAATTTTTATTCCCGGCCCCCCCACAAAAATTTTAAGCACCAGCGCTGCAAAAACAGGAGGCTTTCAGAATATCATCTGATAGCAAAGGAAACTTGTACAATGTGGATGGGACTGGATATAGAGTGACAAGAGAGGGCACTCTTCTATAATGAAATTTTCATTCTGCCTCAGTTGGGTAACATTTCTTGTGTGGTCTTTATGTTAATATTACCTTGTGGTACTCAACATCAACAACGTTATTGAACGCTACCATTTTGAGCCTGATTGCCTCAAAATGGAGTTGCCTAAGTGGTGCAGTTATGATAAACAGTTTCAAAGTTGCAGTGGTGTTTGGTTGTCCTATGTTTGGACCCACAAATGGTACAAGTCATGGCAGGAAATAGATACTGATCAAGTTTAGTGAAAATTCTGTGTGTTGTCTTTCTGTTTGAGGTATTGATTGATCGATTGAACTTAATCTTTGCAGTGACAAAAATCATGAATCATAAATCAAATTACAACTGTATATAGGGAAACTGACTAGGTGCTTACACATAATTATAAAGATCAACAAAATTATAAAGATGAACAGAACAAAACAGGCACATACAGGTATACAAGTGTAGGTCAGGAGAGTTTTTTTAATCCAGTAGCTCAGTTTTTTTGTATCTGGGCCAGGTTAGATTCTAAGGGTTAGAATTTAATCTGTTTATATCTGTTGGGATTTTCACCAAATCTCAGTCACACTGAAGATGACTGCAAATGATGGAAGGAGGCTAAGTTAGACTGGTAACCTGTCCTACATGTAATAACTACATTGACAATATTATAGAGATTCAAAATGTTTTCAAAGAGGAATCGCCCATTGTAGCACTAGTGTAAAAATTTGCATTGCCAATTTTTCAAAGGTGTAATGTCGTCTTATTCATTCCTCATTGTTCATAGTGTGTGTGTACATTTGTGCAAAGCATAACCTGGCCTTTATTATGTTGGTATGATCCATGACAACTGGTCTCCATTCCCAACCCAAGCCACCTGGAAAGAAAAATAATGAACGTCTCTCAAAGAGTTGCTGTAATCAACGCAACTCTTCAAAATGCACCTTTTTGTCTCAGTTAACCATACTTTGAACTTTGTTTCGTTATTTGAAAGGTGTTTTACTGCTTTCTTGGTCTTTATGCTGATGAGTATTTCCAGTCATCATGAGCAAAGCTATAAAGTCATCTCACGAAGAAAGCCTTAAAATAAATATTGGTTTATACACAGAAGAGTTCTGCATTTTTGTAGATTTTGCCGGACGACACATTCTCTTCATTGTTCTTTTTGCGCATAGCAATTAGCAAACATCGATCACTATCTCAAAACTGTTTTCTGGAAGTAAATTTTGGGTTCATGAATTGAACAGAAAAACAGATGCACTGAACTACACTACTCACAAAAAGTTAAGGACCTCTTTTTATTTTGTGTATACTTTTTTATTCGAGATATTTTACAGCGCTGAAAATGTGCATTTGATGTTTTGAAACAAAAGTAAAAAGACCTACATGTAGATCCCACTCATCGCTGGGAAAAAACTACAAGTTAAGAAAAAAGTGGTCCTTAACTGTTTTTGAATAGTGTACATGTACGTCTTCCCTGGATGACATTACAGCAACGGCACCCTCAGTTGTCTAGGAGAGCACGGATAATTTGAAAGTGTAGCTGTAGTGAAATTTTTTTGGACACATCTTTTCTGCAACTTTTTACTCTTTTTCAATGTATGAAAACTCTCTTTTACACTTGTCTTTGGTTAAATGTACTGAAAAGAGCACTTTTTTAAACACTTAAAATTATCCATGCTTTCCTGGACAACTGAGGGCTCTGTTGCCATGATGTCATATTGAAGACTTAAGGCATTTTTGAAACGAGTGGATTTGGCATAGACTTCAGTTTCTCTGGTTCCAGTCAGAGCTTGAACATGTGGTTTCGTACACTGCTTCAAATGGCTGGAACCAGCGAAACCAAAGTCTAAGCCGAATCCACTCATTTGAAAACACTTCTAGTTCAGTGCACAGGTTTTTCTGTTAAAATTAGGAACCCAGCAACTTTTTATTGAAAACTTTCCTGAGAAAGGTGTTGATGCTTGCTTATTGCTGTGCACATAAACAACAGTGAATCAGCCAAAACAAAATTAGTCCAGCAGCATCTACAAAAATGCAGGACTTTGCTCTATACAAATCAATGTAACATTTCGGCTTTCTTCCTGAAGTGATATCACATAAAAACCAGTAGGTGATCCACTCATAATATTCAGATAACTCAATATTATGCAGACTCCATAAAGACTAATGAAAGCCATGTTTGATTCAATATTTCGTTCTTTATCTTCCTGAAGATGTTCTGAATAAAGAACGAAATATTGAATCAAACATGGCTTTCATTAGTCTTTATGGAGTCTGCATAATATTGAGTGATATCACATTTTTGCTCAAAATACTTGTTAGAATAAAAATAAAAAGGCAATAAAATACCTGTTGAACTAATGAAACAAAAGTTGAAAATAAGATTAACTGAGACACCAAGGTTTGTATTAGAACAGATTGATTGCAGCCTACCCATTGAGTGTTTAAAAAAGTGCACTTTCAATGCATTTAACCATGTTGGAATGTAAAAGAGTTTTCATACGTTGAAAAAGAGTAAAAAGATCCAGAAAAATCGAATCTGAGAAGACTTATTGCAGCTACACTTCAACATTTGCCAAAATGTTCAAATACAAGAATTTTTTTAGGGAAATAGGCGAGGGAAAGATTTCCCAATCTCCATTTTTGTTGCCTTTTAAGAGGATAAGATTTCGGGCATTCTGAGTTGCAAGGAGCAGTGACAATTTGTGAGTGGTTACATACAGGTACATAAATTCAAGTATAAACAGTGCACAGTATGTGCACTTATTTTATGAGCACGTGGAGGAACATCTAATGGGAATGGTTGATTAATATCGATTTTATGCCAGGTTTCAGCCATGTGAACGTCATTCGGAAGAGTGGAAGAGCTAACACATTTGGGATCTTCTGCAACATTTGAACACCTTACCCAGCCACTTGAGATACATTGGCATCAAATGCTTGAATCTTCAGCTGGTTACACATCAGATCAAGACATTTGGATTTTATTTTTTACTCTCAGAAATCAGTTGTGTGCCAAGCACTACAGGTGCACTTACATGTAATGTGCAGTGTGAGGTTAAGGGACACCTCAAGAGACACA